GGAAATGGGGCGCTAATAATGATGAGTACAAGAATGAAGAAAACGTTCTAAAAACCTATCAAGGTGATGACTGTACAACTCTTCTTGATGTGACTGAACTATTGAATTGTATGATAGGTGAATTATATGTCAATAAAACTGTTGAAAAACTCAAAAAAAAACAGAGTGTGAATTTCATCAAAGTTATATTTCTGCTTTATTCACATCATACTCCCGAACATTTCCAAAGCCATGGCAAATCAAGGCTAAGAGATATTGATAAAGTTAGTATAAATGAGAATGACTGCACAATTATTGTAAATACAAATTATGAAAAACACAGAACCTGAATTTTGGGTGAAATCAGAAACATGGATTTTAAAAGAGTGTATCTGGGTATAGGATCATAAATATTGAAAGGAAGAAAGGGAGGGAGGTATTTAAAGGTTGCAGAGTGAGAATGATTCGGCACAGAGATCACACAAGTGGTTTTCACTCAGGCAAGAAAAACTATAACATGACCAGAATCCAGGAACAGAATTGAAATGGAATATGCCAGAGTGAACTTCAAAAATACATTTTACAAACTACCTATTTACATATTACCTCTGCACAGAGCTATGCGTAGCTACACAGGTCTATGAGTAGATTGTGTGCAAAACTAATTCTTAGGTTAAATAGATTTCAATGACTAGAGTAAGAGGAATGGACTTCAAAACTTTGAATGGATCACAGAATAATGTCTCCACAAATTTTACATTACTGAAGGGTTGGACATCAAGAGCTCTTCCTATTAGAGTTTTGAAAATATCACCATTTTACCATTTAATAATTAAGGGCCCAAAGGAATAACTGGTTCAATAACAAGGATTAATGAATGAGGAAAGACTTGTAGACAAGCATGAAGCATAGCTGCCAGTCAAGGTCTAGGCCATATTTTTCACCCCAGAAACCCAAGAGAAATCAAAGATTCACAGATGATGTGTATTTAAGGAGTTGGAACACTAACCTTGTCCTACAAAATGTCACCTAATTAGCTGGATCTGATAATTTGTTGTTATGAAGTGTTGTCAAGTTGGCTCCCAGTCATAGTGACCCTATGTATGAGAGAATGGAGCAATTGTTATGTTTGAGCCCATTGTCTCAGTCCCTGTGTCCATCTATCCCTCCATAGGTCTTCTTTTTGCTGTCCTTCTGCTTTACCAAGCATGATGTCCTTTTCCAGGGTCCGTCTCTCCTGATAACCGATCCAAAGTATGGAAGAGGAAGTCTCCCTATCCCTGCTTCTAAGGAGCATTCTGGCTCCAATTCTTCCAAGACAAATCAGTGTGTCTTTTAGGCACTCCATACTACTTTCAATATTCTCTTGACTTCATTTGCATGTATGTTTTCACATGCATTCACCAAAAAGTA